GAATAGAAAATTAAAAAAAATGTCTTCATGGCACCAGACTTCATGACAGTAAAGTAGATAAAAATATAGGCCACTGTAAATCACTGTCATACTTATAATACTAAGAAAAATTACAGTTTTAAAATCCCGTGAAATACAAAGTCAGATAACATCTGTGCAAATTAACAGAAAAGATAAATTAATTTTAAAAAAGAGGTTGCCATTCTCAATCAGAGGGGTGTAGAAGTAGCTCCTCAGTATCCCATTTCAGCCTAGGCTCAGTCTGAAGAATGTGGTGAAATATCAATGTACATTTCTTGAAAAAGCAAAATCTTAGAAGAAAATAGCCACAGCCCTTACCAACGGGACTAATCTGGGGAGAAAAAGGAGTCCTGAACTTTTCCTATATGCCCCAAAGCACTGGAGAAGCAAGTCAGCACGCCTTTTCCCACTCTAGTTTTACCTTCCTCTATCCTTTGAGTGAAGGAATGGATGTAGAAAGGGAATGGGACCTGAAATACTCAGAACATACTCCTACTCAATCCTGAACAAGTTGTGCACTTTTCCATTTTACTCACATAAAAACAAAAACAAAAACACCTCAAGAAGTAGATGCAATTATTCTCATTTTACAGACGAGAAAGTGAGATTGAAAGAAGTTAAATAAATAGCCTAAGATCACCTGGTACTTAGATGATAGTGTAGAGATGTGACCTGATACTATCCAGTTCTAATGCCTGTGTTTTTTCTACCACATAGGTGCCATAAAGCAAGCTTTGTACATTGTAGAGACTCAATAAATTCTTAATTATGAAGTCAAAGAAGTAAATGTCTTTGAAAAGAGTGTATCTGAGATTGAAATATGAGGTAATAATGATAATAGATGTGTTCTCCTTTGTAAAATCCCAAACCAACAAACTAAAAGTCATTATTTACATTGTAAGGCCAATTTTTTTAAAATAGAAAATGCTCCAGTTTTAGAATGTTTGTAAATATTTGGCTTCCTAATAATAATCACCTCCACCACTACTCTACATTTACTGAGTGCTAGGCGTTATACTTACACATGTATCTTCTAACAATAACACTCTAAGGGAGGCTTGTTATTCCCATAATAGCGAGAGTAATATGTAAAAACTTACATAGTGCTTATTATGTGCCTGTTCAAAGTCATGTTTTTCAAAAGTGGTACTATAGACATTTTGGGCCAGATTATTCTTTGTTGTAGAGGGCTGTACACATAGTGGGGCATTACCAGCATTTCTTGCCTTTATTCACTAGACACTGGAACTACTGGCTTCGTCCTCAGTCATGACAACCAAAAATGGCACCAGACATTGTCAAAGGTGCCCTGGGGGCAATCCTTTTCCTTTTTCTAAACTCTTTACATACATTCAGTTAAGTCTTATAACAACCTACTAGGCAGGTAATGATCTGTGTTTTACAAATGAAGAAATTATTATCTAGACTGGTTTAGTCACTTGCCTTGGATAAAGCAGCAAATAGTTAGTGAAGCCAAGATGCAAATACTACAGATGAACAATGAAGTCTGACTTCTAAAGAGCTGTAGATTCTGCTTCTTAGTTTATAGATGAAGAAACTGATAAGTGGAGTTCAATTAACTTGTTCAAAATGACGCAGGTAATAAGTGGCATAAGTAAGATTCAAACTCAGGTCTGGATAACTCTAAAGTCTATATTTTAAATTATTATGACAATGGTTATCACAATTTAAGGATCCTGATAATTACCTGGGAAGCTCATTTAACATGGAGATTCTTAGCTCTCTCCTCTAGGAATAGATTTAACAGCCCTGGAGCATGGCCAAGGAATACAAATTTGTCTGCCCCAGGTGCTTCTGATGTAGCTGGTCCCAGGACTACACACCAAAAAACTACTTTTCATTGCCTCCTTCTTCCACAGTGAAAAGGGCAATAAGTACAGAAGGAACAATGTATGAAAAGTGAGCAGGAACATTTAAAGTAATGGAACATCATTCCTCAGAAGTGATATAAGCAGAAATAGGGAAATAAAATAATTTAGATAGGCTGATGGGAAATTCATAATGGGCCACAACAACAACAACAAAGAGGGAATAATGGAGTTAAGACTTTGGAACCATTCATAACCTTTTGATGTTTATTCTTAGAATAAGATTATACACACTCATAAAATGTTAGGAAATGAGGATTTGGCCTACCATGACATTTGTGATTTTTGTTGTAAGTCCTAGCTGACTGAAGAGCATTCTAAAAGTAAGAAACAACATCTGAGATACCAGCAGTAGGTGTCCTACCATGCAGTAATGTCTCAGTTATTCTATCAACAGTGGACAAAGGTGAGTATGAAGGACAGATCCCTGTGACTAAAAACTGCTATAAGAGGAACTACAGTGCCTATACCTTCTAACCACTCTGCCAAGGACCTCTTCCTGAAATGCCTCTTTTTCTCTGCTTTTCCTCTGTTCCACAGCACCCATAGATCTTCATGGCTACCCAGAAAGGTCTACAGGGCCTCTCAATGGGACTACATAAATGTTTTTACCCTTTTTTCAAACCTTCCAGGACACAATCTTTCAGCATCAAGTAAGCCCATCTATTCCAAACTCAGTCTTCAAAGACTATTCCATCCTCTATTATCCATGATACTTTACTATTTGAGGGCTCTTCCTTTTTAGAACACTCACGTAGGGGACTGAGGACTATAGAAAGCACCCAGTAAGGGGTGTTGGCTAAATAAAACTAGGTGGCATTTGGGAAAGCAAGCACTGGAGAAGGTCACCAAGATCTGTATCCATATTCCATCCAGCAGAATTTTTGCCTGTACTACCATTGGCAAAAGGAATCAGAAGAGGTTCCAATGTGGAACAAGTTAGTGGGGTTGGGGAATTCTCTTTCCAAAAGGAAGAGAGATGAACAGGACATCTTCCTAGATACAGAATGGAGCTTTAATCATGTACCAGATGCACAGAAAAGCCAGCTAGTTGATTCCTAAGGTTATTTCACCCTGTGAAAATTAGAGATGTTGGTAGAGAACTCATCAGTGTGTCATAGGTAATGTTATTTTGTTTTTTAGGTGAAACTTTTTCTGATATTAAGAGATCATTGTTCTAGAGATACTACATGAGAATAAACTATTTGTCCTAAAATTAAGCTTTTAAATAACAACCGATGACTCTAATCAATACTCTATTGCAGTTATATTAAATGATCAGTTACTGAGACTAGAGGTCTGAAGACATGCCTAGATATTAGAAACTCAAATTTAATTTCAGCTCTGCCACCAATGTTACTCTGTCCATGTCTCCCATTATTTTTCTGTAAACTGGGTATAGAGACATTTATAAGAGTAGGTATTAATTAGGACATTCACATAAAGTGTTTTCAAGAGAGTGAATAATTGTGCCAGTGGTACTTGGAGACTACTTGACAGGTCAATGAATCAGTACACATCACCATGGCTCTTAGTTGTCACAGATGTGCCTTCCTATGCTCAGGATGACTTTAACAAAGACCTGGAAGACACTAACAGACTCAATAATCCCTACCAATAGGGCAACAAAACCCAATTAGGGGTCCTGACTGCCTCTGAAGTCATAATTTGGCTTTGTACCTACTTGCAGAGTGGCCCTGGGAGTATTAATGATCCTGTGTCTCTCTCAATTCCCTATCTAATAGGAAGAATGCACTGTCAGATCTGTTAGGACAGTTCTGAAATACTAGGTGGGAAAGTGTAAGAATTACCCAAGTACTGCTATTTAACTTCGGATTCATTAGGGAGTGCGCATATAAAACTGACCCAAGTAGGGAATTTTCGTTTGATTATTCATTAGGAGACTCTAAGCAAGTCAGATACAGAAGTATCTCTGTAGCTGTATCATCCCCCAGAGGAAAAGAAACATAAAGCTGTCTGAAGACCATACCCATCATGGCGCAAGTACTCTTAACCATTCTGTATCACTCTGTAATTAGGATGAAGTAAGATAATTACCAGTTTCCTCTACAACAAGATTATTTAAAAATTCAATAGCAAAGATGTAATCTAACTCTAGGAAAAATATGTCCAACAAATGTAGGTATAATCTTTATACATGCTGATAGTCCAGAAGTTTCTTTAGAGCAAAAAAACATCTGCTCAGGAGAGCAAGTAGCCACTTGGAGGCTATTATCTGTCTCCCATTATTTTTCCTTTATGAGAAGGAGGAATTTGATCTTCACATTTGTCCTAAATTTGAAGAGATGACTTTGATAGCATTCTCTTAGTAAGAAGTAGAAATAATACAATAACAAGTGGAGCATAATATTAAAACAAAACTTCCAAATGAATTTTCTAGAGAGAAAGAAAGCACATTTTACCATGGTCTAATGAGTGTTTAGATTTTTTTTCCATACTCTGTGTATATTATGTATATACATATGTGTATTATGAGACCAGGCTCCAGTTACTTCAGTGAGTTCCAAATCTTTCTAGAGTTTGGCTGGAATGTCTATAGACTGCTAGCATAGCTGACAACCACAGACAAATCTGACATTAGAGCTTAGTCCAAGGGTCAGCAAACTTTTTTTGTAAAGGTAAACATTTTAGGCTTTGTGGGATGTATGGCCTATATTGCAACTACTCTACCTTTATCATTATAATGCAAAACAGTCACAAACTACATGTGAAAGATGAGTGTGGTTATTTTCCAATACTTTATCATTTATAAAAACAGATATCAATTTGGATTTAGCCAACCAACTATAGTTAGCCAACTCTGGGTCTGTACCCTTGAACTCTGGAGTAAATTAAAATGCTCCCAGGGCTGATTCCTGGATTACTGAGACTCAGTTTAGCCTTAAGTCTCTGAGAAGATCAAGAAGGCCTTGGAGGTGTAAAGGAAAGTTATGCATTCCAAAGGGAGCAAAGGTATGCCAAATCCAACCTACCTCTCCAAATCAGAAACTGGTTGGAATTTGGACAGAATTCCTGAGATGGTTCTGAGAATCTTAAAGGAATCTGATTTACATGGAATCCCAGAGTACATGATAGTATGAGCATGATGTTCAGAGGAGGTAGAGTTAGAAAGGTCATCTGAAGACCAAGATGCCATTCAGGTGACAAACGGTATTCTCTACTTTGGCTAGAATGTTATTATCTTAATCATTAGATTAGATTTTTTTTTTTCTCATCAGAAAAGAATTTTGTTTGAACTAAAATTTTAAGTATATGTATGTGTTTGGTAAAAGATTTTACCTATTAATTGTGAAAACATTATTTCTATAAGGGTGAAACTAAGTGCCTAAACTGGGCAACTTGTGTTTCACAATATTCTAATATCCAACATCATAATTTGGATACAGAAATTATGTCTGAAAATTGAATTAATATGCAAATAAATAATTGTAATTACTGGAAGAAGGAAAGAAAAGAATGAAATGAAGAAGTAGTTTTGAAAATTATGAAGATGTGGATAAATCTAAAATAATATAAAGGATTATGTGACAGTGACAGGATGAGGGAGTTATTTTTAGATTGGACGGTCAGTGAATAATTTTCTGAGGAGGTGACATTTAAATTGAAGACTGAATGACAAGGAACCAACCATGCAAAGATCTGAAGGAAACATTCCAAACAAAGAGAATAGCTTATAAAAAAGGCCTAAAGAATGGTTATATTTGGCATGTCTGAGGAACAGAAAGCAAGCTAGTATTTTGAAAAATTCATGAGCAAGGAAGGAGTAGATAAGTTAAACTGGTAGGTAGACATCCTATTATATAGAGACTTCTTTCACAGTGGTGAAACAATGGGATTTGCTTGGTGGATATTCTAAAGAGATAAGGGGGCAAGAGATTAGGCAAAGGGATTAGGAAAATACTTTAGTAAACCCGGTGAAAGATGAAGCATGAACCAGGGTGATAGAAGCAGAGATGGAGAGAAGTAGACAGATGTGGGATATATTTTGGACATCCAATAAACAGGGCTTGATATTTTGGATGTCGGAAAGATGGGAAGAAAAGAATCAAGGATAACTCTTGATTTTCTAACATGAGCAAAAGGATGGATCATCATGGGTCATTTGCCAAGAAGGGAAGACAGGATGGAACAGAGATGTAGAGAAGGATTAAGCTCTGTCTTAGACATGTTTCATTTGAAATGCTCATTTTAAGTACAGATATCAAGTGATAAGTTTCACATTTAAGTTGCAAAGAAGAGAATGAGGATGGAGATTTAAATTTAGGAGTCAAAATATATAAGTATTTAAACTTTTGATACTCTATGGTGCTTAGCTAGAGGTTAGCCATTAAGATTTAAAGAACCCTTTTTAGTATATGGTTATGATTTTTTTGAAAAAGCTTATCTTTTAGAGCTACATACTGAAATATTTGCAAATGAAACAATGTCTGGAATTCACTTAAAACAATGGGGAAAGTGGTTGGGGTACAGATGAAACAAGATTGCCCATAAGTTGGTAAGTATTAAAGTATGATTCTTTTGTAAATGGTACTTTATATTCATCTATTTACTTTCGTAAATGTTTGAAATTTTCTATCACAAAATGTTTACAATAAACATAAAATGATCCATTTTAAGATGGTCTGTATTAAAAGGTAACCCTATAGCATTGATTCCAAGGTCAACATTATATAAAAGGCATATATAAGGCATTCAGAAGGAAAAGATGCCAGAATAACTGGAGGTTCATGAGCAAGAAGGTAAGATTAAACAGGCAGATGTCACATCTGTAGGGGTCTTCTACGGTGTGGAGGTATGACTGGATTTATACTTCAGAAAGAGCACGTGATGGTTTTCAGAATTGATCGTAGAGGGCAATACATTGAACAAGGATAATCTTAAGTTCTGGTTCCGAAAGCATAATTTTGTAAAGAAGCCAACCCCTATTGCTAGATATTGTGCTAGATGCCTTATGGAAGTCAAGTTAAAAGTCAGCTACTCAGTGGTAAACTCAGAATTTAAATCTCTGACTGTAGTGCTTGCATTTTTTCCTACTGTGCAATATTATTCCCCATGTTATGGACACCAAAGAGTTGTAGAGATGGGAAGAAGGTATCATTCTAAAAATGATAGTTGAGAAATTCCCAGTTGCTCATAGACCAGAGTAATCATCAGATTAACTTCCCTTGATGCAAACTAGCTTGATAGAAATGATGCATAAAGGGGAAAAAACCAGAAACAAAGAAATGATGCATAAGGATATGTTCCTGAACCAAAAATTGAACAAAGGGATCCCACCCTCTAGTCCACTTAGTACTACTGCTAAAAAAGAGTTTATTTAAAAAACAAAAAAAGGTACTTTCCTACCTAAAAACTGTTTCCTCCATAAAATCTAAAAGATAGAGGCCTAACATTTCAACATATCATACAGGGCTCTAGACAGCCTGTCCTAGCAGTTATTAAACTTTTTGGTTTCAGGGTGCAAAGCTCTTAAAAATAAAGAACCATAAGTGCTAGTTTGTATGGGTTGTACCTATTGATGTTAATGAGAAATATAAACTGAGGAAATTTACAAAGTTAATTCATTAAAAAAAAAAAAAAACCTTACTGGAACTAGGGATATAGCTCAGTCGGTAGAGTGCTTACCTTGCATGCACAAGGCTCTGGGTTCAATCCCCAGAACCACAAAAACAAAAAACTAAAACAAAACAAAACAAAAACCTTTAAAACATTTTCAGATCTCTTACCATCTGTGACTTAATAGAAGAAAGCCAAATTCTCATATTTTCTTCTGCATTTAATCTGCGATGATATACTGCTTCAATTAAAGAATATGCAAAAAAAATCTGTTCTCATCCAGATTTATAGGTGGGAAACGAGGAGTATTTTTATTAGCCTTTTAGATAACTGTGGATATTCTTTGCTACTGCACCTTATCTTGATGAGTGGTAATTTCTTAAAGGTTAGCTGCCATGTAGATCTGAAACCATATCAATGAACTTTTTGTATTTAGTTACATTAAAATCCACTGGCCTTGCTTTGCAGTCTGAATGGATCCTTACTCATGAATAATTTTGTATTATTATGTAGGGGGTCATTTGGAAATTATAGTTTATTGAGTTATGCATATCCTCCAAATGTGGACACATGACATTAAATAATATTTTAAAAACCTCTTGCTAATTCCACCAAAAATTTCATGGGAAAAATACTTAAGTATTAGGAAGCTGTCATGGTCACAGTGTCAAATATAAGTTTTAAAAGTAATAGGCTCACTATGTTCACTTTTAAGAAAATATCTGCCAGGACTCATTTGAACAATGAGTTGATCTGCTAGTTGTTCCTTCAAGGTGGTCTATGAAAGAGAGTGCTAGTTAAGCTTCCTAACTCAACCTTTGCAATGCCAACTATTTCACAAGTGATTTTTGTGTGTATGCAGCTGAAGTACTCTATATCTACTTCCTGTTTAATAATGAAGAATTTTAAAAAGATACTCAAAGGTTGAGATTTAATAAAATTTACTACTTCATCAAGGGCATTCTTAAATGAAACTCTTTTTTCCCCTTCAACTCCTAATACAGTATCATGTGATGGCTTTGATTTATTTTAAGGTGTAAGTCATTTTATCTACAACTGTTTTTGCACTATCAGTGCAAAGGTCAACACAATGAAAAGCAAAGGTCTTAATATTTGGGTTAATTACCTTTTTGTCACTGTGACAAAATACCTGAGATAATCAACTTAAAAGGAGGAAAGGTTTCTTTTGGTCACAAGTTTTCAGTCCATGGTCACTTGGCACCACTGCCTTTGGGTCTGTAGTGAGGGAGTACATTATGGCAGGTAGTAGGTAGCAAAGGAAACTTCTACCATGGTGGCCAGGAAGGCGAGAGAGAGAGAGAGAGAGAGAGAGAGAGAGAGAGAGAGAGGAGGGTGCTGGGTCCCAATATTCCCTCCAAGGACACACCTTCAGTGACCTAACTTCCTTCTACTAGGCCCCACCTCCTGAAGTTTCCACCATCTCCCAATAGGACAACAGGCTGATAACTCAGCCTTTAACAAAATGGGCCTTTCAGTGACATTCAAGACCCCAACTTTGGCAGAATTATTACGAAATAGAGAATTTTGTATGGTCATTGTTTGACCTTACACGGACAATACTTTAAGAACCACTGGACTATTTTTAAATGTTTTTTTGATAAATAATGATTATACATACTTATAGATTGCAATGTTTTATATATATATTTGCATTGTAGAAAGATTAAGCAAAACTGATTAGTATATCCATTACCTCATCATCTTATTCTTTTGTGGTGGAAAGGTTTAAAATAAATTCTTTCAGCAATTTTGAAGTATACATTACATTAACTATGGTTACCAAATTGTGCAATATATCACTGAAACCTTGTACCCTCCTCCTTTTCCACCGTTCCCCAACCCCACACTGGCTCTCCTTCCATGAGTTTAGCTTGTTTTTGATCTTCTAGATTATCCATTATGCTTTTCTAGTCACATGTTCTATTTCTGTTTGCGTTCTCATTGCTGTGACTTTGCATATACTGTTCCTTGTGCCTGTAATATCTTTCCCAACCAGCTGGCAAAATCCTATTTCAAATTCATTTCTAAGAAGTCTGTTCCAAGCTGATTTAATCCCTTTGTATTATACCACTCTGTACATTTAACATTTCTTGCACAGAGGGCAGAGGCGCTGCTACTCTTAAAGCATTCAATATGTGCCAGACCTTGTGTTAAGCCTATTGTATGTGTTCTCATGAAATCTTCAAATTAATTCTATGTGATAGATATCATTATAACTATGTTTAGTGAAGGACCAGATAGATAGTTGAGACTAAAGTCAAATCCAAATCCATGATTTCAGCAGTGTCCTTTCCCCTATTTGTTACAGGCACATACTCAATTTATATTTTCTGAACAGTCTAATAAATAAAATTAGAAATAATCTAATTCTATAATAAAAAGCTCTATAAAGTTTTTCATCTTTCAGAGGCTGGGGTCTGGCCTTCAGCACAGTAGTTTTTCATTCTTCATTCCTTATGACAGTTTAGATTTGGAATCTTCATTTACTTATAGAAAAACCATATTTTCATTTCTTTCAGCACTGTGTTCCCAGCCGTGTGATGGTAATTTAATGATCACACTGCCATCAAGCCAGAAACACAAATGTTGACATTTGATTGTAATGTTTTTCCTCTCAAAGTTGCTTCAAGTAAATACCAATGGCATATCCAAGCAAATGAGGTAATTATTTAAAAAGCAAATGATGTATATTTTTCAATATGCATATCATGTATTAAGCTTTTCATAATGTTAAAAATAGCCTATTGAATACTTCTTTTTCTTCTTACTCTGGACATTATGAAATGAGAAATTTTCAGTGTGCCCCTAAGAACAGCTTAATATTTCAATCATGGCTTCACTTAAGACTACAGCAATGTTATCTTTAGAATGGTGGTGAGACCAGTGGTAATAAAATGTGGCCCAAGGAAAACAGCATCAGCCTTAGCCAGGAACCTGTGGAAGTACAAAGTATCAGGACTCACTCCAGACCTCTGCCTCAGAAACTCTGGGGGTGGGGCTCAGCAATCTGTGTTTCAACAGCTCTCTGGATAATTATGAACATGGTCAAATTTGAGCGTCAAGAGGCAACTCAATTGTGCCATTTGGATCCATTATGTGAACTATAAAGGGCTGATAAATTTTGGAAGACATGACTGGTCATTATATAATACAATCAGTGACAACATAAGCTGTATAGTAAGGGGTCTGCCATGCCCAGAGTCTGGGCTGCCTTCAAGCCCACATATAGTGGAATGCAGACCAAGGAGAGATCACATCCTCACAAGAGAGGCCAATGTTCTATCATTCCTTGGCTCTGCCTCCCAAGGTGTGAACACATCCACCACAGCAGTACTTAATTAGGAGTAAAGCTGTTTATTGATCTGCAAGACCTATCTACCATTCCCTCCTAGGTAACTCTAACCAAATGCTTTTAAATTGCTTCTTTTCTAAACAAAACGGTAATCTGCAATACATGAATTTTATTGCTACTGGCTTAAAACATTCTATCACTAAGTATGTAAAAATTGAATACAATTTTCCACTACTGATGACAAAATTATTCTTTTCAGGAATATACTACCACTATTCTAGTTACTTTGTTATTACATGCATTTAAGGAAAACAGAGACTTGCTACCATTTTGATAACTATTTGAAGGTATGTAAAAGGCTAATTTTAATGAAGAATACATATAAACACCCAAGCATTTTGTTAGGAAAAGTAAAGATATTAACTGTTCACTTCATTTTTATTTATGCTTTTCTAAAGAAAAACTGGTAAGAGAATTTGCCCCAATAATCAGAGGTTCATGTCTTTGCCAGAGAAAAGGTCTGGTCAGGTAGAGAAGGTTTACTATCTGTCTCTACGTAAGTAGGGAGAAGGACTCAGAAGAATGAAAGACTCAGGGCATATCCCTATTTGTCAAAAACCTGGAATAAACCTCCTTTTTTATTGGCAGTTAATTAATTTTGTTTCTAATACAAACGAGAAAGAAAAACCTCCTGAATATAAATGTTTATGTGAATGATCACAAGCCCAAACAGGAAAATTTTGTTTGGTTTTGTGCATGTGTGTGGTGGTGGTGGTGTGCTGACAATGGAACCCAGGACTTCATGAAAGCTAGGTGATCACTCTACCACTGATCTATATCCTCAGCCCTTTATTTGATCTTGTGTTCATTAATAATGCAACGCTTTAGAAAGGATATAATCTTGAGAATGACATAGATCAGGGTTTGAATTTCAGCTCTGACAAGTTCTAGCTTTGCAACTCTGGTCAGTTCTTAACTTCTCTGATTTTTAGTTTCCTTATATGAAGAACCATTACAGGGTTCTTATAGAATTCTTATGGAATTTTATAGGATTTGAGAAAAATATTTGGGACATGTCACACACAGAGTAGGAGATCAATGACAAATTATTAAGGTAATAAAATAAATTAGTGCCTAGAGATCTCATGAGCATACAATCTGCCTAGCTGAATTGAGGATCATACCATAAGGATCTCAACCTCGATAACCTACTCATATTTCTCCTCCAAGTTAAATATCTATAAACTGCTCGTCCCTGCTCCCCATTTTTCCAAAACACTTGAAAGGAGGACAGAAAGAGGCAGCAATAAAAAACCCAAAGATTCCCTTAAAATAAAGTAATATGTATAGAGATAATGCCTTGGTGAAAGCCAAACTGAACTGCATATGCAGTTTTATTCCATTTACAGTGAGGGAAAGAGCATTCATTTGACTCTGTTTCTTCCTCACACCATCACAGCAATTCAGAACGATGTATTCTTTATTTCTGTTATGGTGCTGTGGGTTTGTTCTTTTCTGTTAAAGTCCCTCTGTATTCACTAGAATGCAGCAGGCTATTTTAGCTAGAGATCCAGGGCCATAAACCTTATTCAGTGCAATAAGATCACTTCAATAATATTCTAATCTTGGAATGCAGTTATAAAGATGCATGATGGCCTCAGAGTGCTACTTACAAACAGGAATGGCTCTTATGCAATCTTAAAAGATAAAAAACATAACACCTGAAAATGTGTTAAAATTTTTCCCATATTCTGCCAGTCTATTTTACATACCTGTGAACTTTCTCAGGAATCTGTGATGGAGAAGAATGACTACTCTTCTTTTCTGAGTCCCGCAGTAATGCATCCTCTGTTCTACCCTTTTCGGTGATTGCTGCCTGGTCAGCCCTGGCTTTACTCTGATCCACATTGAGCTGGTCCTGGGCAGGGTCACATCTATACATGAAGACAATGGCTGGCTTCTCACTGGACTCTCCTTTTGCCTCTGTGAACCAGTGATGGCGCTGAACTGGAGGAGGAGGCAGCATGTGGATGACTGTGCCATCCAGGCCCACCAGTTTCCCTTTCTCTCGTTCTTTCTCTTTGTCATCTTCCTCATCTGTTTTCCTACGGCGGAAGAAGCTTTTAAATGAGATCCAACGTTTAGGCTTTGCATCAGCTGCCCGCCTGCTGCCTTCAGAGTGCAAAACTGATTCAGCTTCCGTTGATCTGGTAGGGCTGGTTGGTTTGGCCCAGTTGGTAAAATGCCTCTGTAAAAGGTTACTTGCATGGTAAGGGGAAGAAGTAGAGCGAGGCGGGGGAAAGGGAGGTGGTGGCTCACTTTGGGGGTTGCTCACTAATTTGGAAGGAGGGGAGGCAACTGGCTTTGAGAATGGGTCTTTCTGTACTTTATTGGTAGGACTTTCTGTGGCTGAAGGTGCTTCAGCCTCACCACTAAGTTGAGATGTGAAGAGTGACTTGGGTCGAACTGGTGTACCCTTAGGTGGACTCTTCACAGCATCAGCATCTGGAGGAATGGCATAAAGCTCTTCCACACTGCAGGCCTTAGGGCCAGACTGAGGTGTTTCTGGAGGAGACTGGGGGGGCTGGATAGCAGCCACAATCTGAGAAAGCACTATGCTTGCTTTCTCCCTGCTGCTGCCACTGTTGTCCACAAGTTGAGGCTCCTGTGTGCCTTCTGTTTTGGCCACAGGCTCTTGAGTGGTTCTCTGGATTTTTGCTGGGGAGCTGTGACTGGAACTATAACTTCTCTGTGGGGAAGACTGACCTCTGTTGAGACAGTTGTTAAACTCCTGAACCTTCTGAGCCACGGAGCCCCTTTTACGCTCTGTGCTGTTTGAAAACCCTTTGGCTTGGGGACATTCAGTGGGTTTGCTAGTGGCATCAGACACTTTGTTTTCACTTTCTATTTCTTCATAAGTATGGCTTATTACACTTGTGGTTTTTTCCTTCACTGAGAGTTCTCCACTTGTTCCCAAAAAACTTTTGTAGATGGCTAGATTGTCATATGCATTTGGATTAATAACAATGGGAACTTTAATAGCATTTTTGGAACTCCGAGCATACGTTGGTTCATCATGAATGATAATTGGAAAAGGTGGCATACCAGCATTGTTGTAACTATTAAATTTTATTTCAGACAAATTAGGTGACTTAACAGGGATGGTTTTAGAGGAAATGTTTGTAGCTGTGGGTGAAGTAGGTGCGGATTTGTGACAATTTTTCCTTGGCAGGATATTTGGTCCAGTTCCACCAGTAATTAATTCCACTTTAGGGATCTTTTGTCGTGGACTGGTGCTGGAAGTCCACACTTCCTGGTATCGGATTGCACTGGATTTTTGGAAATGGGCATTTATCTGTCCTGGTGTCAATGCAGGTGAAGATACTGGGGAGTTTGGAGTAGAAGATGAGATTTTTGTCTTGGGGCTATTAACAGGGCCCTCAAGGTGCTCACTGGCCATGGCTGCTGACACATCCACGACAGTATATGGCTTGCACAATGGCTGTTCCAGATTTACAACTCGGTAGGGCTTTGCTTGCTCCTCTACAGGGACGAGGTTTATGGTTACTGCTTGTCCAGCAATATCTGTAGAGGCTTTATTTTCTTGCTTCTCAGTTTGCACAGCAATCTTGCCATCCTTCTCTTCTAATCGGAGAGCAAGGACTGCTTTGTGTGTCTCTGGAACTTTAACTGGGCTTTTGGAAGCTTGTAATGATTCCTTCTCCAGATTATTACCAGGAAGGCTTTCATTATTGGGTTCAATTTCCTTCATGTCCTTAGACTCTCCTGGGTTATTAGGAGACATCCCCCCATTACAAATCTTCTGGGATAAACTACTGGCTGTCTCAGAATGTGATTCTTCTGTTAAAGAAGAATCTGGTGATGTGGAGTCAGATGACACCATGCTCTGAATGCTTCCTTGTCCATAGGAAACCACAGAATTGTCTTCATAACCGTTCAGGATTTCATCATAGCTGTCATCATAGTCTACAGCACAGATTCTCTGGAGTGACTTATTTCGAAGGGGGATGGTATTCCATTTTTTGTCCACAAAGAATCGAACAGGAGACAAAGTGTTTGCTCTAAAGTTAGCAAAGCGAGGTTGACCCCTCATGCGAATCTCCATGGCCAGTAGCTCTTCATCACTCTCATCCCAGCTCTCATGTTCTTCTTCCAAGTTACTAAAAAGTACATCTTCCTCACTCTCCTCACCACTAGAGAACTCTGGGTAGCAGAACCGTCCCCCTTCATTACTGATTACTTCTGTGCTCCCACTCAAACTAACATGTTTGCCCTGAGTGTCCTTGATGCCACCAATCATGCAACTTGGAGGAAGCTTTCTTTCCAATGATCGTTTGTAGCAATCATTTATTCTTCCTAAGAATGTTTCTCTGGAGTTTGTTTCATTTCCTTTTATCTGAGGGTTGGTGTCCAAACCTGCTATCTCTTTTAACACTTCAGTTAGCCCATTATTGTTATTTGATATCTTCTTTGCACTATCATTGTTGCCATAAGGCTTAGGAACATGGCTAAATCCTTCAATATCATCTTCATTATTATTGTTAAGTGGTTTCTGACTCAAGGCAGTCCTGTTTCGGTTCCACCCTACAATGACAGGTTTGTTCTCACATTGTTCTTGGATGCTAAGCTCAGCACATACACTTTGCCCATCTGCCACCATCATAGTGGGCTTCACAGCTATAGTGGGTTTTTTAGCCACAGGAGGCCGGAAATTTCCGGTGTTCCTGACACGGTGGTTATTACTGTGATTGGCACTAGTTTTCACATTGCCATGGGTGGTGGATGCCTTCTCAGAGTCTGGAGGGAGTTGGTGTAAGCTTTTAGGTTTAAAGCAATTCTTGCATTCACCAGGCTTCCAAACGTGTTCAGTGAAGGTGTTACAAGCAGACATTTTTAAAAATAGAACTTCACAGACAATGCTTTTCTTTCAGTGCATGGCAAAACTTTCATCTGTTAGTTTTCACCTCCCCTATGTTATTACAGCAGCTCTTCTAAGTATAATCAATCTGTGGGGGGAAAAGGAAAAAATAATCTGAATGAAAAAGGGATTATAAGGCTTAACATTATGAATGACTTGAAAAAACTGGCTCCTTCTTAAACTTTTCCTTAAATTAAAAGATTAAGAGATGAGCTAATTTGGAGGCTTCATAATATCCCTTTAGCCAATCAGCAACTTAGAAAGTGAGCCTCTTAATTAGAACTCTGCACTCTTTTTGGCTTGCTATCTCTTTGGCAATGATATGACCTTCCTCTCTTGGAAATTGTGTGTGTTTGTGTGTGTTGTGTGTGTGTATTTGTATTGCTAGAGATCCAACCCGTGGCCTTGAATTTGCTAGGTCAAGTGGTCTACCAAATAGCTACATCTGAAACACCTGGAAATGACTTTGACACTGCTCATCCTGTTATCAATCAATCTCTCTAATATTTATTAGTTATTTATGAGTTCCTCTTCTTCCAACACCCCTTGAAATTTTAGTTATTTCACAGACTCTTTGAATTCAAAGCATTCAAAACGAATCCTCCTCTGGCTACCCCATTTCTCAACTCCAAGTAACTTCTCTCCTCTACCCAGTCCTCCTCCACATCCCAAGCCACCTCTCACCCTTTCTTTATCTTATATTACAGCTAATGTCATCACCATCTACCTAGACAGCTAAATGTCAACCTTCTGATCATCTTTGACATCTCTCCTCCTCCTACTAACTCCAATCCTTACTAAACTCCCTAAGTTAGTTGTATTAATTTTATCTTGTAATTTTTATTTTATTACATTTCATTGCAACCCATTCTTGCCATTATCAGATACTCACTCTCTTTTGCCTGGATAAATGTGATAGGCTATTAACTAATCTCCATGATGTGTAGTCTCACCCACTCTAGTATAGCCTCTGTTTCCTTTGCTACTTAAAATGTGGGTTTCAGGTAAGCAATACCAGCCTCACCTGGGAATTTGTTAGAAATGCAGTTACCTTAGACCCAACTCCAGACCTAATGAATCAGAATTTGCATTTTAATCTCAGATGATTCCATTTTACACTACTATCAGATTTAACTTTCTAAAATCCTACTACAATCATCAAATTAACCAGCTTAAAAACTATTCTGTGAACCAATTTTACCAAATGCATTAGCTCTTAAATGTCAGTGTGCATCCTGGGTGGTGCTAGCTCACTTAGGCAATCACGGTAGATCTACTCAGTCAATCTTTGGGGGAAAAACACAGGATTCTGAAATTTTAACATGTTCTCCAGGTAATTTTAAGTGCAATGAAGTGTTAGAACCTCTGAGTTACAGGATACAATGCAAGCCCCTTACCTTTGAAGATGTGGTCCCTGCCTCCCTTCTACCTGTGTCTTGAAAATCAACTTATTATCTTATAGTCTCAATTTCACCTGGGCTACTCATTTCTCTTTGGATTATTAAAGTCTTTTAGATATGCTTTTATGAACAAGTGCTTTCATTTTTAGTTGTTCCCCCATTAGTTTTTGAGCTCTGTAGGTCTAGCATAATGAATAAACACTGGTGATTAAATGTACTTTTTTTTTTAGGTTTAGAACAATGAATCTTATGGCTCTCTTTTGTTTTAGGCTCACAGCTGCTGTTATGGATTAGATAAAGTGTGTCCCAAAAACTCAAGTGTGAGACAATGCAAGAAAATTTAGAGGTGAAATGTTTGGATTATGAAAGTTTTAACCTATTCAGTGCATTAATACACTTGAATGGATTAACTGGGTGGTAACTGCAGGCAGGTAGGTTGTGGCTGAAGGCAGTGTGTCACTGGTGGCATGCCTTTGGGGTATATATTTTGTTCTTGGTGAGTAAACTCTATTTCCTGGTGGCCATGTCCTGAGCTGCTTTCTTCCACCATACAATTCTGCCATGTTGTTCTGCCTCCATCTTAGGCGCCACGGAATGGAGTCGGCCATGTATGGACTGAAACCTCTAAACTGTGAGCCCCAAATAAACTTTTCCTTCTTTAAATTATTCTTGTCAGATCGCTGAAAAAAACTGACTAAAATAGCTATAGACCTTTTCACAGAATACCACTACTATTCTATGTTTCTACTTTGACTATTATAATAAAGTTGGTAATAGGCTTATAAAAACTATTTTAATAAACAGAAAGCTTAACTTCAACTGTGTATAATGACAGTGACAGGATCCTTAGTTTGGTCAGAAAGCCAGTTTGTGTGTGTGTGTGTGTGTGAGTGTGTGTGTGTGTGTGTGTGTGTGTGTGTGCGTGCCAAGTTTCAGTATGTTTCTAAGGAATGAAAATATGTTTTTTAAAGCTAATATTACAAAGCAAAGTCCCTTATAATCAATAATTATAAAGCATTCTGTCTTAGTAGAATTACAGACTTAAGGGGCAAAAGAAGTCCACACAGAAAGCCCAATGACCCAGTAAGATGAAAATACATTCTTCAATTTTTTTATTCGAACACATGTATTTACTCTTTTAGATATTCTAAAAATTATACCGCTTAGTAAATTAAATAAACAAACACAAAATAATTTCCTCCTAATCTGAGACCTGAACATTGTGAATGAGGGGGAGTAGCAAAAAATTTGGCTAAAAAAAGAGAAGGGACCAAGAGGTTTTAATCTTTAAAAGTTTTTAACCTTTTAAGATTAAAGAATTTATCCTAAGAGCAGTGAGAAATCAATAACTAAAATACAGCTCTGACCAAAACCATGAAATCCTTGGGTATAAATCTAACAAATATGTGTAAAATCTAAAACCCATATGGGAAAACTACGAAACACTGATAAAAGAATCAAAGTGGACCTAAATGGAGAGATTTACTAAGTTCTTTAGATAGTGTTACGATGTTAATTCTCCTCAGATTGGTTTTCAGAGGCAACATAATTCCAATCAAAATCAGAGCAACATTTCTGGAAGAAGACAATAAGCTAAATTTATATGGAAAGAAAGGTAAAAGAACTAGAATAGTTAAAACAATTTAGAAAAAGAACAAGTTGGTAAACTCACACTATTTGATTTTAAGTCTTTGGATAAAATTATAGTAATCCTGACAGTGTGCTATTAGTGGAAGGATAGAAATTTGGGTGGGGAATAGGGAGGGATGAGGGGGTAATTATAGCCCATAGGCCAAAACTAGTTTGCCCTGGTTTTTGTGCCCTATGCTAAGAATGCTTCGGTATTTTTAAATAGTTTACACAAGTACCTAGATAATATCTTTCACTGTGCCTTTTGGCCTACAAAATCAAAAATATTTACTATCTGGTCCTTTGCAGAAAAAGTTTGCTGTTGACCCCTAATATAGATCAGAAAAAAATAGAGTTCAGACATAGACCCACATAAGTATAGTCAACAAATTTTTGACAAAAGAGAAAAAGACAGTCTTTTTAACAAATGTAGCTGAATAATTAGATACTTACAGACAACAAAGTGAACCTTGATCTACACCTCACATCACACACAAAATTTAACTCCAAAAGAATAACAGACCTAAGTATAAAATATAAAGCTATAAAACTTACAAGAAAATGAAGGAGAAAATCATTGCAATCTTAAGTTAGGCAGAGTTTGAAGATACAACACATAAGTATGAAAGAACAAACCAATAATTTGAACTTCAAAATAAATGCTTGCTCTGCCAAAGACATCAACAGGAGAATGAAGACAGGCCACAGATGAGAATTTTTTTGTAAAATAAATTTTATTTGACAAAAGACTTGGTATCTAGAATATACAAAGGATTTTAAAAACTCAACAAAAAAATCCTACCCAATTAAAACCTGTTAAAAGATTTGAGCACTTTACCAAAGATAATTTTAAAAACTCAACAAAAAAATCCTACCCAATAAAAACCTGTTAAAAGATTTGAGCACTTTACCAAAGATAATGGTGTACATATAAATAAATACATGAAAGATCTAAGAATCCTTAGCCACATGGAAATGCAAATCAAAACTACAATGAGCTACCACTATGCATTTATTGGAATGATTAAAATAAAATTAAAACAAAAGTAAAAACTGGGGGCTGGGGTTGTGGCTCAGTGGTAGAGCGTTTGTCTAGCATGTGCGAGGCCCTGGGTTCGATCCTCAGTACCACATAAAAGTAAATAAAAAATAAAATAAGGGTGTTGTGTCCAACTACAACTAAAAAATAAATATTAAAAAAAAATAAAAACTGACTCAGGCTAGTCAAAACGTGCAACAATTGGAACTCTCCTACTTTATATTGCCAATGGGGATTCAAATGGTTCAAGGACTTTGAAAACAGTTTGGCAGTTTTTTTAAAAGGTTAAACATAAACTTGTCTTGGAACCTAGCAATCCTATTCCTAGGTATTTACCCAAGATAAATGGAAACTTCTATTTACACTGAAACTGGTAGACAAAAACTGGAAACAATTTAAACATTATATGGTGGTAGTCATATAACTGCACTCATTGACAAAACTTAAGAATTATACAATAAAAAAGTAAATTTTATTATATGTAAATTAATCCTCAGCAAAGCTAATTTTAAAAAAACATTTTTACTGCAGGACAGAAAATGAACTTTGGAGAACAGGATGGATGGCAGGAGACTGTTGAAAGGGCTGATTTGGGCAAATAAAGTTTTGATGAGGATCTGGATTAGGGTATGGCATCAGGGAAGCCACAGAAAGGTGGATGAAGGAGTGAATGGATTTTGGAGCACATAAGTGTTGAAGTTTTGAGTTTATTCCAGTGATGTATGGGACTGTTTGCTAAGACAGAGAGCAATGGAGGATGTATGATTTTGAGGAAAGGGTCCACACTTTGGAGCCTGCAGAGAATAAAATAGACAGGTGAATTCAGGAGTCCTGGAACATAGAATTCTGTGGTTCTTGTCTATTTGAGAATTACTAGTAGAGAAATATCTAGGCCAAAAAAGAAGACTGATAAGGATCTGGAAAGGTGTGTGAACCAGAAAGAAGAGGATAATTCCCTGCAAAACAGAAAAGTAACATTCAAGGTGTGAAGAGACGAAGCCAGAGGAGGAAATGTCATTA